GGAGACGCCTGTAGAAAGTGTCTCTCTCTGCTACTCTTTTGTAGCGCTTATGTTACTTTAAATCACATTTACCTTGTGAATGTCGTCCTTCAGTAGCGTCCCACTGCTCTGTATGATCTGTCTCAGCGCTACAAGGATGACAAAGATCAGTTTGGTATCAGAATATCATACGTAGCGTACCAGTAATAACAATAACAACAACAAATAACAACCAATAACATTAAACTTGGTTTGCATCTCACCCCTGACAGCTGCAAGGCAGGTATCTTGATTGGCTAGATGGTCTCCTTTCCTCTGCAGCGATGGCCCGACTGTATCTGCCATCACCAAATGCTTCGTCCTACGAGGGCCGGGCTTTCCTCCAGGAACAACATCCGCCGATAGTCCTGCCCGGAGCTGGAAACAGGACACCCCACGCACAGAGAGCTCAGCACATCCCAACAAACCACTGGTTCCCTTTAGTCTCATAAAGGTCAGAGCTTGAATTAAATTTTTTAGATTTAGTGCTCATGACTAATCTCTTAGTCGACTAACCGTGGGAAAAAATTGACGAGTCTCAGATTAGTGGAAAACCTCCAAAACTAATAGCAAAGCATTTTAAACAATTACATTCTCTGTTTGAAACTTCATGACCACGACTTCAAACTAAAACAGTGAATCATCCAGCGTTTTTCTCCTGCTTATCTGGAGTCAGGTCAATGGAGTCAATGGGCAGCAGCCTCCTTATCACCTCCTCCAGCTCATCTGTTGAAATGCTGAACATTTCCAAAGCCAGCTGATAGATCTGTCGACATTAGCAGTCTCCTTTACACGTGGAGGAGTAGCGGCTCCACTCTGAGCCCCTCCTGAATGACTCAACTCCTCACCTTATCAGTAAAGGCGAAGCCGCTCTGCGATGTTTTTCTGACAGTGTTAACAAAATATGAGGCCTAGATGATCAGATTTATGGCGTCTCTCAACACTGATGCGCCATCTGGTGGCAGTGCATTGATACAGACTAGTAACGACGACTAGTCCAAATGCATCT